ATCTTTAATTTAATAAAAATAATTATGTGTACGTGTGTATGTGTTGGGAGCTGCAGACCCTCAGACCCTAAACTTTCCTTTTTATTGATTTTTATTGAGCTCTACATTTTTCTCTACTCTCCTCCCTGCCTCTCCTCTCCTCCTTTAACCTTCCCCCAAGGTCCCAATTTACTCAGGAGATCTTGTCTTTTTCTACTTCCCATGTAGATTAGATCTATGTAGGTCTCTCTTAGTATTCTCATTGTTGTCTAAGTTCTCTGGGATTGTGGTTTTATTTAAGACATAGGAAGCTGACTAACAAATAGGAAGTAAAAATTCTTTAGTCCCTTCGATGGATTCATTCAAGACCACTTAACTAGGAATTGAGTGAGGGTGTGAGGTCACCTAGAACATTCTGTTTGAAAATGCCATAATGATGTCTAATACTTTGTATGCTAATTTAAAATACATTTAAAAGATAATAAAGGTGTAGTGATATTTTATTTGCACTTTAATAAATGAAGCTTGCCTGAAGATCAGAGTGTAGAGCTAAGTCACTAGAGGCCAGGGAGTAGTGGCACACACCTTTAAACCCAGGACTCAAGGCCGCCCTGGGCTATACAAGATTTATTTTGTCTAAAAAAAAAAAGAAAGAAAGCTCTCACTTTTAATGCAGCACTAGACAAGAAAATAAGGCAGGAGTTCAGTGCAGTCATAGGTTTGGTGGAGAACAAGGCAGTCTGAGATTCGGTGAATTGCCCATTCCATCTGAGCATTGGTAGAGTTGAGAACTCTCTAGTGGTTTGACTGCTTTGCTTTTCTGATCTTTAGCTTAAACCTCAGTGTCTGTCTCTGGGTTTTTATTATTCATGCTACATAAAGTCACAGTAAATGAAAGGCTATTTTTCACTGTGTACAGTTTTAGGTAAGAACTCCAGAGAAATAAAAATGAAAAGATAGAATCTGCCTCCTTACTACACTGCTTTGAAGGTGTTGAGCATGGCAGCTAACGGGAGCAGGTGGAATGGGCTTCCTCTCCACCTTTATCTTTCCTTCACCTCCTGTCCTCACAGAAATGAAACAGCTTATCTATCTTACTTGGAAGAGGGGGAAAGGAAAGCACAGATTTCTTGAAGATGATGGCATAATGAGTTTATTTCCCATCTTGATTAAAAAAAATTTAAGTATTTGCCCTGCAACAAATGAAGCTACAATTTGTGTTTGACAGCAAGACTAATTTTGTGAATTCTTGAAGTTTAGATAATATATCCGACTTCTTAGAAATGAAATATTCTCTTCTGGGATGTTGTTGACAGTGTATTTACATTTTTCATGAATTTCTAAAACTTTTTATAGATAACGACTTCCAAAGCAGATGTGTATGCCCATGGGAAGGACTATTATAATTGAGTGATTAATGATTTTTTGCAAGATTAAAAATGAATATATGAAAAGCAAATTGTAGTTGAGAGAAATGCCCTATATTTTCATTTAATTAAATAATCTTCCTTGGGGTGTGCCATTTGTGATTGTTTTCCTACTATCCCATCCCAGGATAAAATTACTACTTCTGATACTGACAGGAATAGAAATGCCGAAATACATAGTAGCTGCTGGAAAGTGAAGAAGTAAAAGGAAATCAAGCATTGAATATTCAAGGAATAGGGAGATGTATTCCTACTGCTTCAGAAACAAATGTAATAGCCAAGTGCCAACAGCATCAAGCACAATGAAAAATACTTCAAAGACTTGATCTCTTTATCTAAGACAAGAAGTAAAAGCACATGTGTGAAGTAAAAAAAAAACTATATGTATTTATATATATATATATATATATTATATATACATGTACACTTGTGTTTGTACACATACATACACATACAAATGTGAGCATGCTCAAGATGAAAGTGAGTGTGTAAATAGATCTATGGATAGGAAAGAAAATATTTATTTCCAAATAAGGTAACTATATTTTAAAAAACTAAAACAAATTATATAGAATATTATTAAGGGATTTCTTTGGCAATGTTGGGAAGTACCAAGTGGAAAAACTGGTGAGTTGGTGATACATAGAAATCAAAACTGAAGCCCTGCCTCTATGCGTTATACATGCCATTGCTCAATAATGAACAACAAACTATGTTCCAAGGGAGCGCCTGGGTGGATGGCTCAGTGGTTAAATGTTTTCTGTACATAACACGAGGACCTGAGTTTGGATCCCAGGAACACACATAAAAATCTACACTTGGGCCATTCCTGCACAGACCACTGAAGAGGCAGCATGTAACTTGCCCAGCTGAGAAAGGTACTGAGCCATGTGGCTAATGTAGATAAGGATAATGGGGTAAGATAAGTTATAAGAGCTAATAAGTAGCCTGACCTAATGGGCCAATCAACTTATAACCTAATGTAGACTCTGTGTTATTTTCTTTGTTGCTTGCTGGCTGTTGGGGTACTGGGAGGGACAGAAACCCCAACAAGCCGGCCCTCATGTTACATATGGCGCCCAACATGGATAATTGCATCCACATAAAGCCTGAGACAGCTTGGGAAGTAATTCTAGAACAAAATGACAGCATTGTGCATGGTTTCTTGGTAGCAGCAATTTCTCTGGTCTGCTCTGCTTGCTGAAGGCAAGCAAGTACTCTCATCGAAGAAAGACTTCCTGACTCAGCTTTAGCTGCAAAACTTTGCAGCTCCTTTAAGAAGTCCTGCCACAAAACACTTAAACGGTGTTGATGAAAAGCTGAGGGCATGCTTTTCGGGTTTTCAGCCGTAGCATGAAAAAAGCTGTGTTGTTTTAAAATATCAGCTTTCTGGGCCGTCCTGCCAGGGCAAATTCTGACTCTTTCAGGCAGGCAGTCCGACTGAGTGTAGCCTGTGAGCAGGATGCTGCAGCTTGCTTGCTAGCAAGGACCTTGAAACACCATAGAGTTGTGGCAGTGAACACAGCTCTGGCTGGTATCTCAGCCATGAGGTTGGAAAACTAAGGAATGGGCTGGATCTAACTGTCAAAGCTACGGCTTTAGTCCTACCCATTAAAGACTCGTGTGGTCAGAAAAAGAGAGATATACAGTAAAGAGAGATTCAAAGGCAAAGAAAACCTCTAAATGGTTTACAGTGTGTTAAAAATATATGCAGGCTAAAGGTTAAAGCCATTAAAAATAAAAAAGAAAGGGAGAAATAGGGTGTGGTGGTACACACCTTTAATCCCAATGCCTGGGAGGCAGAGACAGACAGATCTCTGAATTCAAGGTGTGGTAGCACACACCTTTAATCCCAGCACTGAGGAGGCAGAGACAGAGGGATCTCTGTGAGTTCAAGGACAGCCTGGTCTACAGAGTTATTCCAGGACAAAGATATACAGAGAACCTGTCTCAAAAAGTAAAAGTAAAAATAAAAGAAATAGAGGTTAAAATAAAGCCATCATAAAGATAGAAAATACACAGAGAATCTTGATACTGTATGCTATTATGCTCTCTTTGAATTGTTTGAATGCTGAGGAAGGAGCAACAGCTGCTAAAAGACTTTTGTTTATAAATGCTGCTGAACTAACCCAAGATAGGTATTTTGAAAATACCTTGGCTTCAAAACTGAAGTCAAAAGGTATGTTACTTTGGAGAAGAGATTTTGCTTTTGTTTCCACAGAAAATGAGAGGTTGTGGATTCATTCTGAGTTAAGAAAAATCCAGTTTGACCAAGGGAGACCACCCGAGAAACCTCTGGTAGGAACAGATGGCCCAGATGTCTGAGTTCTACGACCAGAACTGATTCAAGCCTGCTGCCTGAGATGATCGAGACTCACAGGATACTCCAGTCAGGATTTGATGATAATTCTAAGTTTTCTTTAGGTCCCCATAAGACTATCAGTGCCCCCAACCAGCAGGAAGCAGCCTGAAATACTACGCCCACACTCCCAACAAATGGACTATGGGTATTTTACTTTGTTTAAAAAAAAAGAGGGAAATGATGTGGGAGAATTGTCTGTATTCTGTCAATCACATTTTAATAAAATGCTGATTGGCCAGGCAGGCAGCATAGGCGGGAAAACCAGACAGGAAGTAGAGGTGATGCAATGAGAACAGGAGAATTCTGGGAAGCAGGGAGGTTCCTCTGCCATTCCTGTGCAGACCACTGAAGAGGCAGCATGTAACTTGCTCAGCTGAGAAAGGTACTGAGCCATGTGGCTAATGTAGATAAGGATAATGGGGTAACATAAGTTATAAGAGTTAATAAGTAGCCTGACCTAATGGGCCAATCAGTTTATAATCTTAAAAAAAAATCTACACTTGGTGACACACATTGTAATACCCGTGCTGAGCACAGGAGATAGGCAGACCCCCAGAGCTCATTGTCCACCTAGTACCACCAAATCAGTGAGTTTCAGATTCTTTGAAAAGAACCTAGCTTTGAAAAGAAAGCTAGTGTGGAAGACTAGTGAGATGGCCCAGCAGGTAAAAGTGCTGGCTTCGCATGCTTGAAGGCCTAAATTTGATCTCCCAAACCACAGTGGATAGAGAGATCTGTCTCCAACCTCCACACAAAAATCATAATATGTATACACATGGAAAATAAAGAGGTAAGTAAAAAGACAAGTAAGTCAAGTTTTTGAAAAACAGTAGGTTAGAGAGCAATGAATAGCATACGATGCCTTACACAAGTTTCAACCTCCACAAAAACATGCTTGCACACACCCACACATTTACATGCACATATAAAGCTATACATACACACATACATACATATATACAAACATACATACCACACATAAAATAAAGAGAAAAAGGGGGAAGTAATACTTCCAAGGAAGTAAAGTAGTAAAAAAATAATACTTGGGACTGGGGTACAGGGTAATATCACTATGCTTTCCCAGCATGCACTTCCCTAGGTTCAATCGATAGTACTACAAAATTAAAGTAAAAATGGTTCCTGCAGGATTCTTTCCAACTACCAGTAAAGCCCTGCAATGTCTGACTCAGAGGTGTTGAGATGCAATATAGAGAGTGGACTGGAAACCAGAATGCCTACAGAAAGTGATGCTGTGGACATGGAAAGACAGGGAAGACTCATGAATTACTCCAGAAGAAAGTCCAGAAGGATTTGACATATAATAATGTTCCTGTGACAAAGAAGAATAAATAATAAAAATAGCTCTCTTGTTATGACAAAGAAAGTGTATTCTCATTGCTATAGCATCAGAAACAAACAGACATTAATTTTTCTCTTGAACTTTCTAAAGAAAAATTGAAACATGAGTGGTCATGGATAATTTTCCAACATTATTTTCTTTTTCTCCTGCAAGACAAAATATAGCCATAACATTTCTGCTATGTAGGCAACTCAATCTTTTCACACAACATATCTGAGAAGTGATATACAGTTAGCAAAATCCTATGTTATTTAAAATTAACTCATCCTTACTCATCATTTCCATTTCTCAAAATCCCAAAGCATAGTAAGTTCTAGTGAGCAGAAATCACTTGCTGCTTCCTGAATGCTTGTCCATACTCTATGCTTAGCAAATAGTTGTAGATGATGGACTTATCAAATGATCTTTCCTCTTATCATTTTAAAACCAGAATAGTTATTCTTCCTCTGTGATATATACCATGACATCTCACCCATTCTTCAACAAGCGTTTTTGGTACTACCAAGCAAGCTAAAGAACTAACAGTAAACAAAATGAAATTTCTGTCTTTTAGAGGAATAGAAGATATTCTGTTTTAAAGTCAGAACTGTGCAAGGTAGAGTAGACCAAGAATGCAAAGGAAAAGCTTTCCAACTCTTTATGAAAGGCAACAGACATTTTCTGTAAACCTTGCGCATTTTAAAATAACCGTCTATGTGTTGTCAGTTTGGGTAGGCTGATAGATGCCAGATGCCAAGGCAAAATGAAATAAATGTATTGTTGGGGAAGAAATGTATTATAGGTAAAGTTTATGAGACATAAAGAAAGAAAAAAAGGAGCATTTGAAGGCAAAGGAAGTCTCAACACCATGACACAGGTCCGATGTGTTGAGCAGACAATGAAAAGAATGGAAGACTGGACAGCAGAACAGTGCCAAGGAAGTCTTAGCCAGGCAAGTGGGAAGCCAGAACAAAGGAAACAAAACAAACAGATATTGCTACTGGACTATAATGCTCACATAGACTAGTACTTACAACAATTGGAAAAGCCGGCCAAGTTCCAGTTTCCCCAAGACATTTTGGTAATAGCGTCTTATTAATCTCCACAAAAATAATCTTGAGAATATATTTAGGTCAGGCTAGAACATCTTTGGAGGCTGTAAATTACCTCAACTTGATGGTTTTATATTAAGTTATGGCAGGTAACCAAGAGCAATATCGATAGCCTTACTGTTTGGGGGTGTTCCATGGGACCTCCTAGACCAACAGTTCATAAATAAGCTACCCTACACCTGATAGTGGGCTTTTTCTTTGATAACCTATTCTCCACCCCAAATATAGGTTAACATTATTTAAATTTCACATATATATGAGTGGATAGATAGATAGATAGATAGATAGATAGATAGATAGATAGATATTTAGATAGATAGACATTTATACAAAGGAAGCTTCAAAAATAGCAAATTTATATACAGTTTCTCAAACATCTTTACTGTTAACTATCCCCCCTGGTCCTTTCCCTTGCTCTGCTCTTCCATTAATAAGAATAGACCTCTCTTAGGGTTGAATTGCTATGACAAAGTACCATGACCAAAGCAAGTTACCAAAGAAAGCATTTAATTGAACTTACAGTTTCAGAGGGCTAGAGTCCATGGTGGTGTAGAAAAGGCATGTGGCAGGAACTCTCAGCTGCTCCTGGTTGCATCTTGATGCTCACATCTTGGCCTATACAAGCAGAAGGCAGAGAAGACACAATGGGAACTTCGTGAGTCTTTTGAGACCTCAAAGCCTGCCCGCAGTGACATACCTCCTCCAACAAGACTGCATCTCCTAATTTTTCCCAAACAGCTCCACCAACTGTGGACCAAGTTTCCAAACAGATGCACCTAAGGGAGCCATTCTTACGCAGATCATAAGACCTAAATAGACATATCTCAAAAAGAGACACACAAGAGGTCAGCAGGCACATTTTTAAAAAAAAAATGTTAGCGTAATATGACCAAGGAAAGGCAAATCAAAACCACATAGGATAGCACTTCACTTCAGTAAGACTGGCTATTATAATATAGATTAAAGATAATAGATATTGAGAAAAGTGAGTCTTCATACACTTTTGATTACAATATAAATGAGTACATAAAGATAACTGTACAAAAGTTCTTGCAAAAAGTTTTTTTTTAAAAAAAGAGAAACTATGCTATAATTCTTTAATTCCACTGTAGGACGCAGAACCAAAGGAAACAAAGTCAGTTCATTAAAGATACATCCGTACTTGTATACTATATCACTCTTTTCACAGTGGCCAAGAGATAAAACACTGCATAAATGGAAAAGAAAATTGTGGTATGTTATGTAATGGGACAGAACACAATACACAACCACAGAAAGGATGAAATCCCATTATGTGAAATGAAAAGAACAGAAAATCACTGTGCCAAGTAAAATAAGCCAAATGAAACAGACAAGCATCCCATGATTCATTCATTCATATGCAGAATATAAAATTTGATGTCACTGGCATTGAGAGAGCAGAATGAATGTCCAGGAGAGTAGAAGCGGTAATGTGGGGTGGCTGACCAAGGGTACAGAACCAGACGTAGAAATAAGAAGTTCAGGCATGCTACAGCATTGCTTAAACAGTGACTTCAAGCTATGTATGCTTCAAAAAATGCAAGAAATTAATTGTAAATGTTTCTGTCATCAACAGGTGATAGAATCTTGATGGGATAAGTGTTTGCCTTGAGTTTAAAGTTGAACAATGTATTCTTGTAGCAAAACCACATATGGTGCCCCAGTAGTATGAACAATTTTATATTTTTATACTTTGACTTAAAACAACTCACTTTAAACTAACAAGTGTAAAAGTAGAAAAGGCCCTACCTGTCCTGTCCTGGGTATGGTAAAGAGACTTCAAAAAAAAATCTGAGAAATGATTTACTTATATTAGTTCATTTGGAAAAGGATTTTAGCAATTCATTAAAATATTAGAATCAAATAGTGCAGAACTTTGATTTTTTTTAAGATAATCCCTCTATTATTCCATGGAGAATGAAGATTAACCACTGGAAATAAGATTTCAAGTATTCGACCCACAATAGGGAGCCTAAGTGAGACAAATGAAACCTCTGGGAGCTATGCCCAGGAATAGCCATGGAAACATACCTTCCTATGGCCCTCATACTTCACTGTCCCTACACAATAATGCCTTCTGTGCCTTTCCTGTCTTACTAACAAGTGACTAGAATGCATGATGCCATCTTTATCTCTGTTTTCCAGGTATGTGAGATTGATTCACACTGAAGAAATCAAACAGAAAAACTAATACCCAGTGACCAGAGAAACACAAATAGGTGGAGGTGAGGAGAGGTGGTACCAGAAATACAAAATCCTTTCAAGAAATATCAGGAGGAGTTGGTATAAGCTGTTGGCTGAATAACCATGAAAATTGAGTGAGAAGCAGAAGATCAACAGTTTTAAATGCTGATAATAATAGGATGACTATACTTTTGACAGGGGCTGGAGATGACAAGGACTATTAATTGCCATATTGTGATCTATGGGAAAAACCAGAGCAGAAAGATATGAGTGACTTTTGGATTTCACCTAGAAGTCTGGCTTATAAGCAGTGAGAGAGGTAAGTACAAGTTCAGGAAGACTTTTTTCTCAATATAAATCCAACCACACTGAACCTGATAGAAGAGAAAGTGGAAAGTAGACTGCAACACATGGGCACAGGAGACCACTTCCTACATATAACCCCAGTAGCACGGACAATTAAGAGCAACAATGAATAAACAGGACCTCTTGAAACTGAGAAGCATCTGGAAAGCAAAGGACACAGTCATTAAGATAAAAAGGCAACCTACTGAATAGAAGATCTTCACCAACCCCACATCAGACAAAAGTCTGATCTCCAAAATATATAAAGAACTCAAGAAACTAGACATTAAAATTCTAAATAACCCAATTAAAAGATGGGGTACTGAACTGAACAGAGAATTCTCAACAGAAGAATTTCAAATGGCCAAAAGATACTTAAGGACGTGTTCAACTTCCTTATATATCAGGGAAATGCAATGCAATCAAAACAACTTTGAGATACCATCATACACCTGTCAGAATGGCTAAAATCAAGAACACCAATGATAGCTTATGCTGGAGAGGACGTGGAGTAAGGGGAACACTCAACCATTGCTGGTAGGAATGCAAACTTGTGCAGCCACTTCTCTCCTAACATAGTGTCCAACATATATGTGCAGGCAAATGGTATGGTCATTAAAATGGAAATAAGAATATAAAACAAGAAAAAGGGAGTTAAGCAGGTGTACAAGAGTGACAGAAGGAGGAAGGACTCTGAGGAAAGGAAGCCACACAACGTATCAGCCGGCAGCAGGGCAGGGCAGCGGCAGCAAGAACTAAGTGAGGCGAGTGCAGCGATCCAAACATCCAATGCTGAGCAAAATAAAAGGAGAAATACTTGAGAAAGGGACAATGGTCATTCATTAAGAGATCAATTGAACCCCTGAAGAAAGCGTTTTTATTGGCTTTAGAAAACAAAAGGAGGACAGTTTTTAAAAAACCGGACCATTGGTGAAGAAGTTCAGTGAGCTGAAAGAGTGACACACAGCCATGGAGAAACGCAGGTGTCTTGAGGGAGGAAAAGGGTGGGGAGAAGAGAACTGAGAAGAAATGGAATAATTGCTGAAGTGGGGCATAAAGAGATCGGAAAGAATTCAACTGCCAAGCATAGGATTAGTCCTGCAGTCTGGAGGCACAGCTCACTTCTGCAAAGGAACAAAAAGATGACTCATTTAAAAGACATCCTGAGATATTTTAAGAAAGGAGGTAACTTCAGACTTTGTCCAAATTATCCCCAGTGTCTGTATGAATGGCATTTTTGGTGAATCAACTACGTCGAGAATAAATTATACACAGCAATCTCACGCTTCACTTGAATTTTTCATTTCGTTAGTTTTGCTTGAGTTCAGCTTTGCGTCTGGTGCTCTGTGCTCACTCTGTTTGAATTGGCCTGAGAAAGACAATATACTTAAGCTTTAAACTGAAAGGCTGGAGTCACGCTGATGAAGGGACAAAGTTGAAAGATTGAGGGGATTACCAAGGGTCATTCACAGAGCCCTGGGAGCAGAGATCTTGTTTTGAGCAAAATAAACAATCCAGGATAGAGGGGAAATTTATGGTCATTGTCTCACTACAGACCTGACCCGTGTTTTTGGAAAGGCAAGAAGAAATCTCCCAGATGGCGCTGGCTGGCACAGACAATGTGAAAAGTGAAGTAGGCTGGTAAGGAGGAAGGCGGACACAATAAACAGGATTGTTCCACACCGGGCCTGCTTTGCTCGCGACCAGATTTCATTTCCATGTGCTCGAAACTAGAAAGCTAAAGCGGTTTCACAGACCCCATGCAGCTACTGCATTAGCTGTGGCTGCCAATCAGATACTCATGCCTGGAACTTGAATAGAGGATGAAATTAAATGGGGGGGGGGGTGTTTTAGAGATAATTAACTGGTACTGATGAGAAGACATCATGTAGCTCTCCCAGCAAAGGAAAGATGATAAAGTGTGTTTCTGGAGCCAACAGATCTCCCCGGGACTAAATGGCAGAACACTAGACACTGACACCAGGATGGCTGTGTCCTTGGCAGGACAATTCTGGCATGTGGTTTGGGGCTCGTTCCTGGAGACACGGTGTAAAGTCTCCTCCTCCAGCTGTTCCAGGATCTAAAAAGAACTAAAATCCCTACATTCTATCCCTATCTGAAGGTAGCTTCTAGCTACTGAAACTAAACTGAGTAATACAAGAAGACAGATCAACCAACTAGAGTTCTGGGCCTAAAATGACAGCCAGATTTTTGTAGCATGAGAGCTAAGAACAGTTTTCATATTTTAAATGATTCTATAAATTAGAATGGCAAACTTTTTTATAAATATATGATGTTAAATTAAAAGTAAACTTCAGATTAACAACAAATAATTCCTAACTACAAGTGTATCCCAAATAGTATACGGGAAGGGTGTGTGTGTGCGTGCGTGTGTGTGTGTGTGTGTGTGTGTGTGTGTGCATCTATATATCAGTGTGTATCTGTCTATGTGTATATGTGTCTGTCTGTCTGCTATCTATATCTGTATATCTGGATCTGTGTGTTTGTATACACACATACACACACACACACACACTATATATATATATATATATACATATATATGTATATGTATATATATATATGCAAAACTTTATTGGCCAATCATAATACAAATACACCTTTAATAAACTCTTTATCTGGGTCTGAAAGACTAAAATTTTTACTATCTGACCCTTTCAGACTTTCAGAGAAAGGTTGGTTAAGCCCCACACCCACAGTAAACAACTTCTCCACAGCACTGCAGTCCTAGGCCGCTGAATCCATATTCCCTCAACTTAAGCAGTAATTAGTGAGCATATCCTAGGTGGGGTTACCTGGGGAGAATGCAGGGGCCATGTGTTCCTGGTGCTTTCTTGGAGACTGGAGAACTGAGATGGCCAGATCAGCTGAAGGGGAAACCTTGATAAAGAGAACTTAACTTCACCCAGAGAGCTGGACAGGTACAGCCTCAGAAACAGAACTGAGTAATAGAAACCATGAGTCAAAGGAAAGGGGAAGAGGCCCACCCCTGTCAGGAGGCAGTGGGGTTCAATTCTGAGGAAGCCAGAAGCAAAGACATCAAGGGGTTATATTATCATCCTCAGTCCTAAGCCCATCCTTCTTTATCTGCCATGGGTCACTGCAAACCACAGTTCGGTTTAAGGCTCCTCAGGCAAGGGATTTTGTCTTATCTGGGTTGAGAGGACTTGAGATCATGAGCAGTTCTCGTGACTCAATGCTTCATTAGGATATCTGACTCTAATTTTGCAGTGCTTCCCTGTCAGCCTGACTCGGATTCATCCGTAGAGGTTTGCTCCCACTTGGTAGGGTCCCTTCTCTAAGTGACAACAAGCATATCAAGCCCAGACCTCTGTAACAAAATTGGCTGTGAGGATCTTCATTGAGTTAAGAGAGCTACAACTGAGCTAGGGGAAGAGCCACCTACCCTAATCAGCTCCCCTCTGTCAGTCTCCAGCCAGTTTCTGTCAATATCTGGGTCTAGTGTGGAACTTCTGCTGGTCCTTTATTTGAGTATTTGGGACTTCTTGAATAGGCAACTTTGGGGACTCACTACCATCCTGGCCAAACCTTTCTTGGAACTAACCCATAATATGAGAATTTTCTGCACTCCCTCCTTATGCACAGGTATCAAAACTGAGCAAGAGTCCTCAGCTTCTCTCCCTCCTGTGCTCCTTACAACTGTCTCCCAAGTGTCTGCAATCACTTAAACACTGACTCCTGTCTCGATAGAAGATTCTCCAATGCAATAAAACAGGAGTAGATGATGTGGTCCAGGCAAGCGATGACCCCCACCTGCAGGAGGATGCTAGCAGTAGACACGAACAACAGGTGGGTCACCCAGGTACTAATGTATCTCATACCATATATTACAAGACAACAGAAATTTGAAGTTATATCAAATGGCATTAAAGCAAAACCTCTGGATAACTTTGAATATAACTATTTTATGAAGGAAAGGTCGTTTTGAGATTCTGGAGTCCATGTTTCTGCAGTGTTTAATTCATGAACGGTGTTGTAGAGAAATTGCATAGCAATATGAAACAGCCGTATATCTGAACACATTCATTTTTCTGGCCTTCACTATTCAACATGTGTTCTCTCTTCTTGACAGATTTCATCTTCCATTTAGATGATTTTAAATAATTCTGCAGGGCTCCTCTCCCTCGCAGCAGCACTTAGGATGACTGCTCATCCTGTTCGGAGTCGTTTAGCTTGTAGAACACCACACACTCACAGTTCTCCCAGCACATCGCCCATGCCTGCTGGGTCTATTCTCTGCTTGACCTGAAAATGTGGAGTGGCCCTGACCTGCCCTCCACCTTCTCCTTTTACACTTGTTCTACTTCCCAGCTTATCTCACCCAACCCTTAAACTTTGAACTCTATTTAATATGCCTATAACTCCCAAATTTTATATGAAACCCTGATTTTCCCCAGTGTTCCACGTTTGCTGTCCAATTGTCCCCTCAGTAAACCCTTCTTAAAATAGCCAACATGAGCTTTTGATTTCCCACCAACATCTCTCCTGCTGCCCCCACAATCCCTCAGTCTACCTCACCCAGGGAATAAGCAACCCCCACTAAGCCAGTATCTTCCTATCCAATGCTGTTTTCCTTGCTACACTCATGATCCATCAAACATGGAACATGTCATGACATACCTTGTCAGGCTTGGCCTCTCACATCACTAGCTATTCCGTTTAGCACCCTACTGCTTTGTCATGGAACTTCTCCTTCTGTGACTGCTGTGTGTATGGATACATCCCCTTGGTTTTACAGCTTGCTGTCTCTCCTGTACCGACAACTGTTACCTGACCATAATTAGCATCAAAAACTACCTGTCAGATTAACAAACACCAAACAGAACAAGCAAATGAATTAAGTCAAGGAAGTGATGTGATTTTATCTCTTGAGGATTTACACTCTTACTCGTTTCTTCTGCATATGGAAGTGTTCACGAGTGGAGTCTGGGGTCACTTAAGCTCTCGTTCCAGCAGTCACAATTTCTACTAACATTTTTAACTCCCCTTTGTTTATGGCTTTAACTTCATAGGCATTATCTTAACACTGACTGTGTGAACAGACACATCCCAGTTTCTAGAATTCCTAAACACTTACCAGAAGGCATCATCTCTCAGCCAGTAATCAGCTCATTTCCAATAAAATTCAAAGTCAGGAAAAAAAGTTGGACATGTTCTTTTCCTTTGCATTGCTGTTAGTTTTATTTCTAAATGAATCATCTCCCCCATGGATAATCGGACCATTCCTAGCCCTATAGTGTAGGACTTGGCAAGTCATCATTGTTTTTCAACCAGGAAACACGCATCAGTTATCTCCTCTTAGCTCCACCCAGAAGCCCATGAATTACAACCCCTGAAGACCTTCCTCTTGCCTGTGTGCATTTAATGGATACCAGTGCTAATTCCACCTTCAACAGCAAAACTAGCTTTTCTAATCCTCTGACAGGTCAAACCTAATAATTGCCAAGGACAATTGTTCCAAGGATATCTTAAGGTAAAGAAGCCTGGTTGTAGCACGGAGAAAGGCCAGCAGGGGTTCCTGGCAAATGGCTTTCCTGAGATCATTTTCCATTCCAGGCTTCTGGGACTTTCTGGGGGAAATGATCTTTACCACCAAACTGCCAGGAAGTCACAGCACTTCATGAGAAAGGGAACCAGAGCTGCAATCTTTCAAGTCCATGGTCATTATCCTCAAAATGAGCAAGTGCATGGATGCTTCCTTACTTTTCAAGAAAATCTAAACACGTAACCAGAGATCTGTTTCCCATCCAGCAATCAGCTAATTTCCAATGAACCTGTATTATAATGATCTGCAGGTCAGTGGTTGACCCAGAAAGCATTCTGGGCTCAAGGAAAAGTAATTTATGTGTTTGGTTTCAGCATAAAATGATGGCTGTCACCTGGATCTGAGCAATTGAGAATGAAGTAACTAGTTCTAATCACTTGTAAACAAAATATGCTAAACAAAGAGAAAAGAATGTGATTTCATAAGAGCAGCTTCTCCCGTTCATCTCATGCTCGCTACAGAAGACCAACGCTCTTAAAGTAAATGTAGACCAATAGTGCAAAGACCAAATGAATATCTAAATAATTGAAATCAACAAGATGAAGTTAAATTTTTCTTTCTAAAAAATTTGTATATGCACATTTAACAATATTGTATTTCAGTTATCAACAATATTGTATTTCGGTTACTACCAAGATATTCTACAAAATATGTGTTATGTCATTACAGAGGATGAATACCATGATTTCACTGAAGGCAAGGTAATAACTGAAGTTATTTATCTTTTATTCGTATGCACGAGGTACTTTCCAGCCTTGCATGTGCAATGTTTACTGACCTATGGTTTCCCTGATACTGTTACATTTCCTTCCTGTGGCAGTATCTTCTCAAGCTTGATCAGTGTATTCTTTGCTCACTCAACAGTCATTTATTGAGCTCCTACTACCTAATAATTATGCTTAAAACTGAATATCAGTAAATGTTCTTAAGAATTCAGAACCCAGTTGTCCAATTTTATTCTGGAACTCTTGGAACTGAGTATCCGTACCAAGCTTTTACTTTTGGGCCACCAATTAGCTCCCAAATCATGACACAGAGACTTACTAGCTCTTTTCTGGCTAGCTCTTTTAACTTAAATTAACCTGTTTCCTCTTCAATGATCTTTTGCTTTGGGGCTTTTTACTTTCTGTATATTTTACTTCCTCTGCTTCTGGCTAGCAGTCAGTGGCTGCCTGGCTTCTGGCCTCAGGCGTCTCCTTTGTTCCTTCCTCCTTCTCTCATTTTTCTTTTCTCTTTTTGAGTCTAGATTTCTCCTCCTATTTATTCCAGTTGGCAGTCCCGCCTATCCCTCTCCTGCCTAGCTATTAGCCATTAAGCTTTTTATTAGACCAATCACGTGCCTTAGGTAGGCAAAGTGAAACAGAGGCAATACATCTTAAAAGAATTAAACACACATCCTGACATGGTTAAACAAATGCAGCACAAACAAAAGTAACACAGTTAAAGTAAGATTCTGCAGCATAAACAAAGGTAACACATTTTTGCCCAGCTAAAATAACATTCCTCAACAAGCATCTTTGAGGAATATTTCAATGAAGCACACATACTGTGCTTTATTGACCTTCTTGTTTCCTCCGCCAGACTGGCAGTTCCTGAGACCGTAAATCATACGGTAGTTGTACTGTTTCCCCATTTTTCAATCACACTGTCAGGCATAGAGTAAGTACTCAGTAACTAGAGACTACAGATGGCATCAATTCTAAGTGCCTCGAGAACAAATCAGACCCAGTCCCTGCCTCCAAGTTGCTGCCTTGAATTCCTGTTTTGACTTCCCTTCATGGACTAGAACCTGTAAGCAAAATAAACCCTCTCCTCCCCAAGCTGCCTTTGGTCATGGTGTTTAATCACGGCAACAGAGTAAACTAGGGCACCTCCTAAACTTCCTTTTCTACAAGCCAGCAATAGATTCTACTGAAACGCAAACTCCATCACGCTTCTCAGAACTTCTCAGTGTCTTCCTATAATTGTAAAGCCGTTACCTCCAATGTTCAAGGCATTGGGCATGACCTACAAGATCCAATGCCATCCACACCATTTTTCACTGACACTCTGTTTACTTATTCTATGCTCCTAGTAGCCTCCCAGCTCTACCCAGATTACACAATATGCCCATGTGTGAGCATCTGCATTTAGAGCTTTTCTACCAGTAACACATATTCCTAGCTCTTCCCATAAAGAAAATAATATTGCAGATAAATTCAAAAAGCTGAACCCAACTATAGTTCCCCTAGTGACATCTAGCTGTTACCAAAGAATTCTAGATTTAACTGTAATTCATCAAGGTCATTCTAAAATAAATTTCAATGTTCAGTG